ATTCTACTACGCAAACTAGTTGCTATCTGGAGTCAATAACTTAGTGGATAGAGCGGTAGTGTTTACAACGAACGATACTGGGTTGCAGTCCCGAAGTGAACACCGACTCTGGAATTCAGGAACATCCATCCAATGAGTCCCAAGTAGGAGGAAACGTGCGCACTGGATTCTAATACTAGCCACTATCCGATTCCGCTTACAAAGATTATTTATCTTAACATACAAACACAAATACACGTATGTGAAAAGTATTAGCTAAACCTAAAATGTCAAATGAAATGGGCGGAAAGGAAATAAATGGAGAAATTGTGAAGAGAGGCCCATTACAAAATAAAGTAACACGATATAGATTACAATTTATATACTATACAGAAATGTTTCCAAAATGGAGATATTGTTGATAGTAGTAGTAGTAACCAAAATATTAATAATAATAACATAGATGATAAGAATGGATTAAAACTTTTCACCCTTGATTATTTTCATTTACAAAAGAGAAAAACACAGTACTAAGAGTGGTATTGCATTTATATATCTTTAGGAAAAGTAGTATTCATACATACACATACAGACGGGAATAAGTACCATAATCTTATACCAAAAAGTTATCTACCATTTCCCTTTTTTTATCTCTCTCTCGCTTACAAAGTCAGTTCACTTTCTTTTTTCTAGAATAAATGTAGACAATCTACTTAAGATTGATAAAAGTTAAATAGATGACACAAGTATATTATTTGTTATACATAAATAATACCATTGAACTTGTTTGGTTATAGACACACCCATAATGTTTAGTTAATCTAATTAAAAATATGAATATTAAATATTTATATAAAATTAGGGAGAAGTAGTGGGAAATAGGAAATAATCAAGGTTTCTATTGAAGTCATGACTCAATGTATGCATTAATATGTCTAATCGTCATCAACTATCAATAATATTAAACCTGAAAAGGTACAGGAGAAAAACATTATGAGAAAGTACTGCTTCGCCTATAGGATGAAGACGATATCGAGGCAATTCACACAGGATAAAGATATGCTAATATGAGACTCATTAATTGAAGTCCTAAACATCAATGGGAAGATTCAGACAACCAATACAAAAATAGACAATACGTTATACGTTCCATATCCTGTTCAACTTATATTTATTTAATTAATTGATGGTATTATTAGTATTACCGGAACTATCACTGAAACGATATAACTAAAAGTAGAGTATATAAATCTAGACAATTTGTAAATCAAAAATCTTGTTAAAAAGGAAGTAAACAACTCTGATCAACTATCAAAGCATATACATAACAAAAACCAATTCTTTGAAATAATAAGATCTTTTTTAGGCCTAAAAGATTAAACCAAATATTTGGATAAGGGTTTGGTTTAATTGGTTACTGATATACAGAACTCAATCATTGTTTTATGGTTAAAACATTTGAATTTTAACAACTAAGTCACAAGTTCAAAGCCTTCTCCATTTGGTGAAAAATCTAATTATAAATGAGATAATTCAATGCCTCGCTAATAATATTACAAATAGCATACACAATGAACAAATTAGTTGCTAAGTTTAGGGTATAACGCGTTAGAAATTTGAAGCGAAAAATACTATATTCTAGATCGAACGTGAATATCAACACTGGACTGGAGGTACAGTCAACTGACGAGCCCTAAATAGAAAGAAACTCACATACATTCTTCACTCCATTACCATTCATAATCTACCTATTCCAATGAATCAAGTGGGTGAAAAAGTAAAAAGGATTGAAAAATAAGCAGTATGAAATGGTAATTATTATCTACTTAATTAATTTGTACATTTTAACCAAGTAAGTCTTCAATTTAATTTATCAATCATTATTATTTTGCGTTTACCATTCCAAAAATAAAAGTTAAAAATCTGCAAACATATAACTCAGTTTTTTTTATATTAGAAACATCATTTAATTATGTATACTTAATGAGATTATGAAATGAAACCATAGCAACAACATGTATTTCTTATGAACTATCATTTATCAAAACAAACAAAAAATTGAGGAAAATTTTGAAAATGTTAAAATATAGAGTAACATGAAATAATGTGGACAACATCATTTCAATGGTGCAACAGAAATATCAACTTAATACACTTGACTTTCAACAACTGAGTTTATCTACACACACACATACATACGTGCTAGAACGAGATCGTAAATAAAAAGGTGCACAAAACCCTTAGGGTTTTAAAAGCCAATTTTACAAGTAAACAAATAAACCTAAGTTAGAAATTATTTACGTATATTCCTTGTTTTTATATATATAAATTAATCATCAAATCTAAACATATACAAATGCATATTTTGTTTACAAATCAAATTACATATAAACATTTCACTCAATTATGATAACTAATTCACAATACGATGGAGAAAAAAAGAAGAAAAGAAGAATCAATTTTTTTTTATAAACTCCTCAGAATACCACGAAAGAAAAAGGATTTACATATTCACTTAAAATATCATATTAAATGATTTAACACCAATCGGTTACAAATTAAGGATTATTAATTAAGGAAAATCAATTCTGTTGTCATGGTAATATATATATATGGAAAAAGTCTGTGATAAAATATAGATCGATGTGTAATGGGATAATTAGACGTATAGTAATCAGGTGATTGTCAACATAAAAGTTGAGGTTTGAAAACTTTAAATGAAAGAGTAGGGTGCTATGTAGATACGGTTTATTGATGCATTGCCCCAAATGCGGTACGGTCGAGGGTGGTGAGAGTCAGCTATCTCTCGAAATGCACACACGTGGTTATGCATGCACAACCATTGCCGAGGGATCTACTTAATGCTTTATCGCGACCAAAAGCGAATGTCCGGATCCTTAACCAGGTTGGTGGATAGAGAGGATCCACTTAGGAGAGTTGGAAAATTCTGATTCCAGACTAATGGTGTATATATAGGCTCTAGGATTCTGTAAAAACTAATGAGGTATGAATCTATTGTTGGTCACTGGCTAATATGAGACTGCAATCTCTTTACGTTGCTCCACTTCCTTATAGATTAGACTTCTAGGTCAAAGACTCGAGGAGTGGCCTCTCATGAAAACCATCTGCTTTGGTTTGTGAACCCGGATAGTATTCTATCCCTCACACAAATCCAATGATATATGTGGCGTATATATATTTGGTGCCTCCTTGTACCAATGTTTATGTTTTTAAATAAATAAATAAATGGAGTTGTGAATTTTTCAAGTCCTACATAGTTAGAAATCAATTAATTACATGTAATATACTGGAATGTTAAAACAGAGGCCAGATTTTAAGGCACTTTTATGAGTCAATGATGTAGATTAAATTTGACAGTATAATGACAAGCGTTGCAGTAGTGGTAGTGATAGGAAAAATGAAAACAGGATAATAAAAAATTACAAATATTTCTATATTGCGAGAAAACACAGAAAATATTTATTTGACAATAATCTTTATCACATGACTCTCAACTATTGAAGTGTGAGTTCGAACCCTTTCAGATAAGCTCTAGTATGATGAGCCGGCTTGCCTACCTTGCACCCAATATAAAAAATGTGCCTTAGAAAGACAGTACAAAAATAAGTGTTTTTTAAACAAGATAGGGACTGGGAATTAATCAGCCTCACTCCCCCCACATGGTCAGTGATTTTACAGACTGATCTTACATATTGGTTTTTAACAACTTACTCCAATACTGCCCAGTGTATTATCGTTTCGAGTAGGTGTAGTCGTTGATAATACATAACATATGTCTTAGGCAGGCTCAGTAAACAAAGATTTATAGTCTCACCAACACATTCAACCAATCTATCAATTATTCACTAGATGACTTTATTATGTGTAAAAAGTGCTTTGAAGACACCTATGATTAAATATTTGCAGTTTATACCCTATAATTTCATGTTTCACAATTGCAGAAAAATATAGTGATATGATGAAGGGATTGTAAAACTAAAAAAGATCAGTTTGACTATATAATTACAGTAAGCAATCGACAATTAATGATAAACATAAAACTATATAAGATATATAATTCAAAACTTGAAGTAAAAAAAATTTTTTTAATTTTAGAAACACAGTAACAACATTTTAAAAGGTTAACTCAAATTGTGGAGATTCTACTATCATACTCAACAACAGTTCCCTTTATGAACTGATATCAATTATAGAACCATTATGAAATTAAAATGTACAAAACACCTTTATCATTTGGAGATAAAATACCTTCAAATCGAATGAAATGTTCATAAAAGAATTTTAATTATCATTAATTATACATTGCAGACTAGATTTCATTTATATTTCTCAAAATTATAGTGGGAATTAGTGACTGATGAAGTCAATCATGTAGAGATTAAGCCAAATATTTTATCGATGAAAGTCAATTTCAATCTCATTGTGACAAATTTAAAAACAATAGATTTATGTAACAATAAATGCGACGTAGCGGACATTGCAAAATATAAACTTCCTTGGATTACTAACCAACCAATGTGGTTGTGAGTGATCATGGTTGGAAGTTTCAAAAGACAGACGAGACAGTTATTCAATACTCTCTCTGTTTTTCAATGGCTTTCTAACTGACATCGGTAACGTCATTTCAACATTTTAACATATTAAAACTGTCCTATTATCACTCAGCATAACCATTTTGAATTTTAGGAACAGAAATATATCCCAGAGACCTCATTATGATAAGTAGAAAGAGTGGTTGTACGAACAATTATGAATGAATTAGCAATCACATTGTTGTAGTACAGCGACCATACATTAGTAATACATATATTCAGTTGCACAAGATCCATGTCAATAAGGTCACAATGACTAAAGACAGCAAAAGTTTAAAGTGCAGTGCAATTGATCCTTTGTTTACTGGTTATCTATAACTAACGACCTTAGTAACTAGCCGACCCAGTTTACATATTTATTAGACAGATCAAATATACACTTAACAACTTGTTGTATGATTAACTTACCACATATCTGTAGCAAATGTGATAGGATCATAGTTAATAATTTCCGGTGCTAAAAAGGTGAGAAAGAAAGAAGTATAAATAATCTATTTAATACTCAATTAACGAATAGTTTATTACTAAATTCTACCAATCATTATGAAACTGAGTTTCAACTTATAGAAATCCAATTTTTATTATCTTACAATTAAATAGAAGTAATTTTCCATGATAGTAACACAGGTCAAACAACAGGTTTATACACTCGAGCAACTTTGAAAAACAGTTCAGATATCACAACAACTGATACTATTCAATTTGTCAAAATGAAATACGTGAGAAAAAAATTCGAACATTAAATCTATTACTATATGAGATTTGAATGCTTTACAGATATTTATCAGTTACTAGGTTACCCATCACTTTTTTTACAAATGCAAGCGATTAGCACTCTTCCTGTGGCTTACGGCTAGTGAGATTCATCCAAATCTAGATACTTTTGATAGTTTAAAGTTAGTCAATACTAGTTGAATTCATGATACGATTATTATCCTTTTATTAACAAGACAGAGTCATGACATGGTTAGTTTAGGTTCACATTTGAATATGCTGATTACTTTTTTCTCAATCAGTCAGCGTTAGTGAACAAGTCGAGAAAATGCTAGAAGATGCGATATACTATAGAGACGAGCATAATATTCAAATACTATCTGTAGCGAGCAGTAGAAATGCATTTGTACAATGCTCAGAACGTTTAAAGTCACAGTGAAAAGTTAGTTTTTGTCATTAAATAGTAAAAATGATCATTTTAAATATATCAATTGGTCAATTCTGTTTACATAGATTGAACTGAACATGAAAATATAAAATATCCCTAATGCACTTTTCGATTACAACTTGTGTTAGTCCATGATAAAAACTGAAATCCTTAATCCCATAATTCTAAACATAAATACATAACTCTAATCAAGAGCAATGTGGAAACTCCTAAAAATCTACTTGGGTTCTTTAAAAGGTTCGAGAATACAGATAATCTATATCTATAAGGATAAATTCATTCTTAATTAAAGGTAGAGTAATCTATAGAAGACTTTAACAGATTTATTAATTATATAAAATCTATTTACACACTGTGATATTACTGTTTTATTTATTATAAACTATTCATTTACAAAAGCCATTTTCTAATTTGGTTAAGAACTGGTTGAAAATTCGTCGCAGTTATTTTAAACTCATCCCTACACTATACTTTTATCGAACATTTATGCTCTTAAATTTTACGTAAACTTTGATACTACTACTACTACTGTAGTGAACAAGAACACGAGTGAGGACAATCGAATGTATTCAATATGAAATTACAGAGTATCTCACTAAAATCTGAGAACCATCTAGTAAATGGTTAATTTGCAAAATATCAGTCCATCGTTTCAAACTTCACTGTTCCTTTTGCAAATATCAGTTCATTGTCTCAGATTTCATTGTTCATGCATTTTCATACCAATCGCGTTCCTTTCTCGTTCTTTCCTTACCGATCTTCTACTGAAATACATTTTATGCCTGACCATCGTGATATATTGTAGTGAACAAGAACACCAGTGGGGAACAATCGAATGTATTTAACATAAAATTACAAGACTTGTTAATAAAATCTAACAATCATAAAGTAAATGCTGACTCATGATTTCAACCTGTGAAAATTTCTAAAAACTCTCCACAAAACCCATTCTGATAAATGCTTAATTTGCAAAATGTCCACCAATTGTCTCAAAATCACTCAGACTTCAGTGTTCTTGCATTTTCATACAAATTGCATCCTGTTCCATTCTTTACCATTCGATCCAGACCTGCTGTTCACCACTAACATCATATACTACTTATGTCAATATAAGTAGCACACATCACAATATTACTTACGTGGATATAAGTAACCCACACCACACTATTACTAATACTATAATCTATGTTGTTCAGATTCATTGGAATTTATATATCATTCTTTCTTAATTTTTGTTCTAATCTAAAGTATATATTGTATAGTTAAGGTATACCAAAACAATGAAGAACAATAACATCGTTGATACTTTCGCTTAAACTGTAAAACATCTAAAAAATCATAATGATAACAGATTATCTATGCACAAAATTATTTCCATAAAATTAAATTAAATTTATTAATGATTCACTAGTTCATAATAGAAAATGCGGGTATTTTATAAGTAATTTATTGAATAGAAAAAGAAATTGAATTAAATTACCCGTATATTTAATTGAATGAATTAAAAATTTATTAAATAATCAATAGTAAATGAATAAGTTATATGGTTCATTTTTATTATTATTACTAATACATGAAATAAGGAAATTTCAATCAACAATATTCTATACATAGATATACCGTTTCTCTTATATAATTGGTTCTAATTGAAGAAAGTTAGTAGTGGCCAAACCAAAACGTGGTATCAGTGCTTGAAGTCACTAACTTCTAGTCTGAGTCATGTTGGTAGATGCAAACTACTTGGTTGGGGTCCGCGTGACTATCGTAACCAATGGTTGGAGACTGGGTGACATGGCTCAGGATCGATCACAATGGCGTAGGTGCATAAACTCTCTGTTTTCCCTTAAACTATGAGATTGAAATCCCTTCATATTTTTTTTCTACCAACTAATTCTTTCTTCCTGTACTATATCCTTATATGTAATCTTTCTTTTATATATTACCACCACTGAATTGACTACTTTTATGAATCTGATGTTCGTCTTGCTGTGCTAATGAGGTATGGGAACTTGGACCGATGCATATATGTGCCTGGTCCTACGTTGTAGCTGACTGACTGACTCTAATTGAAATGAGGAAAAACTTAGAGGAAAGAAAATGCGTTTTAATGAAGTTTTGTTCTCTGAGCAAAATGGTTTTGTTATGCTCCCAGAACTTCATCAAAATCATCCACCTGAGCTGCAAATCTTCTCCACCATCTCAAAAAAATACATGATGAAATAAATCATAGCAGTTCGGTTAAAATTGGATTTCATTATATCTAACAGATGTCAGTCATTTTTTTCCCGATAACACCTACAAAGAGTAAACAAGAATAAAGTCTGACATTTCATACACATAGTTCCCTTTATCGTTTTGAAAAGAACAAGAACAAACATTCTAGCACAATAGCATGAACTCATTTTGATTTCGTTGGTTCTCGTCAGTTGCTTACAACCTGTGATATTTAAAATCATAATTACATAATGGGTTTAAATTACTTACATGAAAGCGTTTGATTGGAGGTTATATTGTGAAGACATATTCGTATAGTATAGCAAGGGTGTAAATAAATTGAATAGACTGAATATGGTAAATATATATATATACCTTATGCGAAAGAACATTCTACAACATTAATTGTGACAATAGTTCATAGGGCTAGAAACAAGTGATTACATAATGAATAAATATTGATAGGAATATAGTGAGTAGAGCTCAATTGATAAAAAAAGATTCCTAATTTGGAAGATAGTTGAATTAAAACTCAATGATGTAATAAATGTGAGAAAGAGTTGAAATACAAAATGTAGAATTTTCTTTTATATAAGCTATATATTTACAATATTCAGCCCATTCATTTTATTTACACCCTTGCTATACTATACGAATATGTCTTCAATATAACTTCCAATCAAACTCTTTCATGTAAGTAATTTAATCCGATTGTGTAATTATGATATTAAATATCACAGGTTGTAAGCAACTGACGAGAACCTACGAAATAAAAATAAAGTCTGACAGTTAGGTTTTAATGTCACTGAAGTGTAAGTGACAGAAAAATAATCTGAATCTCTCAATCGATTTCGAACAATTTCAAATTATAGTTATTTTTATATTTAGCAGCATTTTCTACATTTAAGTTATTTTCGTCTAAGAAAATCTATTCCATTGTCATTTGATAACATTCTAACACGCAAGATTTATTGTAGAAATAATTTCATTTCATTAACAGTTTTCGTTTTATTAATGTATTATTAACTAGTATCTATCGATCTCAATTGTATTTATTATTTAACCAATACAAGTATATGACCATATTCATAACATATTCGAAATTATTCATCGTAAAAATAACACAATACATTAAGTGAAATATATATAGTTCATCTATTTATTTGTTTAGACACACAAACTTTGATATAAGGAGGCACCAAATACATATGCGCCATATAAATCATTCGATTTATATGAGGGCTGGGATACTGCCCGGGTGCCCAGACCGAAGCAGGTGGTTTTCTTAGTAGTCCACACCCCGAGCCTTGAACCCAAAGGTCTGATCCACAAGGCAGCGGAGCATCGTAAGGAGATGCAGTCCCATGGTAACCGGTGACCAACAACTGGTTCATACGCCATTTGTTCCTTCAGGATACTGGAGCCCATGTGCACCATTGGTTTGGGATCCGGTTAAAGCGCCGGACATTCGCTTTTCGTCCTCTCAATTTCGTAAACAACAACCCCGCCACGAGAAGGCAGTGAGTAGGACTTCCCTAATATATATACGCCACACAAATCATTCGATTTGTGTGAGGCATAGAAAACTGTTCGGGTGCCCAAACCAAAGCAGATGGTTTTCATGAGAGACCACTCCTCAAGTCTTTGACCTAGAAGTCTAATCTATAAGAAAGTGGAGCAACGTAAAGAGATTGCAGTCTCATAGTAGCCAGTGACCAACAATAGATTCATACCTCATTAGTTTTTACAGAATCCTAGAGCCTATATATACACCATTAGTCTGGAATCAGAATTTTCCAACTCTTTTAGGTGAATCCTCCATATCCTGATTTTAAAAAAATATCTTGCAATGTGAGAAAAACTAATTAAAAAGTTTATTTAGTTCACTGTATACTATTTTTCTCTATCGAAAATTAAACGTGAGAGAAAAAAAATGATACAAAGACATTTCACAGGTTACCTTATTTAAAAAGAACCACTTATGATTGCTAAAAAACTAACATGGAGTAAGAAGAAAAAAAATAGCACAATACATTTTCTAGGCTGTTTTCTTTCTTCTCTCGGATAACAAAAAACTACTT